TGTCCGTCCGTCCGCCCGGGAGCGGCCTGGCCTCGGCCTCCGGAAAGCGGGTCAATGCTCCCGGTCAGCTTCGCAGTGGCCGAAACGCGGCGTGAGGCACGGCCGGCTGCCGTGGCCCGCTCCGGCAGCCGCCTCTCCCGTGCCGTGCCCCGGGCAGGAGCCGCGTAGGCTGGGGCTAGCGCTGGCCAGAAGGCTCTGTCCGCCCCCGGGGCCTCCGCCTCCTTCTTCGGCAAATACCGAACCTAGTAAGCCACCGGCGTAAATTAGGCCGGAGGGGGGGGGGGATGGGATTTTTGCATTAGAAGGAGAAAATGTAAATCGAGCCCCCTTACTTTGCAGGTGAAAAATAAAGCACCTGCAGAAGTTCAGATCACAGCAGAACAGCTTTTAAGAGAAGCAAAAGAGCGAGAGCTTGAACTTCTTCCACCGCCTCCGCAACAGAAGATCACAGATGTTGAAGAGCTAAACGACTACAAACTCCGGAAGAGGAAGGTAAAGGGTGGTAGGGGGAAACTCTAACCTTGATGCTCGTATAAAGCACTAACATTTTACTGTGCTTTAACTTAAACAAGACGGAGCCTGTATTACTTGTGGATTTTCCAGATGAATAACAATTCTTGAGAAAACCCAATGTTTTCATAGAAAATGCTACTTTTGTGCAAAAATTGTAAGTTCAACAGGTGTCATTTAGCATAAAATGTGGTAGTACGCATCATCTCACATGTAAGCACATTCAGTACATTCACAACATTGCAAGGGTAATTACATACATGTTTTATATGTGGTTCCTTCATCAGCACTAGTATCTGGGCAGTCAGCATGACAGAACATTAGCAAGCTTTACAGTAACACAGCTGTTTTTTCCACCTCAGCTGTTTAAAAAAAACCAAAAACAACACAGTGTGTTTGCAAGTGATATTTCTATTCTGTATAATTATGGTATTACTTAGCACACTTTAGAACACAACTTTCTGCACTAATCATGGGTGTGTTTTTTTTTCTTGAAACTTGACCATTTTGCCTGTGAGATTTCAGCTGTAATTTTTTTTTTTTATTTAGAGGAATTGCTTTGCTTGTGCAAACTTATCTACGGTTTTGTTCTGCTTTTTCCTTTAATAATTGCTGTCCTGGATCAGCAAAGCAAGCATAGCCCTAACAGGGAACTTTAAATGTTTTCAGCACTCAGCAATTTTTTTTAGATACAGACAGCATAAACTAGGTCTATCATTCCCTGAAGCATGTATGCATATGTTCAGCACTGGCAACTGTTGCAATACAACACAGCATCCCTGTACTCAGCCCTTAGTGGGTGTTCGTTTCCCTCCTTACCGTAGTGGCTAGGACTCCTCGTGAAGACTTTGGGCCTTACAGTGCTGGATGCTGGTGTACCTCACTCGAGTACACACAGAGCAAATGGAGTCAGATGATCAACACCACAGAACTGCAAAAACAATGTTTGATGTTAACCTTTTTTATCTCTGATATGAATGGCAGTAGCAAGCCACCACATTAACTGTGTTAAACCATGTTTAGCCACAAGTTAAATACCACTAGCATTGATCCTGACAATAGCCAAACACAAGACTGAAGGTGCTCTCACCATTGCACTGAGGAGTGAAATTTGACCAGCACGGTTGATGTCAGCATATTAAATTCCTGGAATGAGAATAAGGCATCTTGCTTTAAAAAAAAAAAAATTTAGAACAATGAAACACAAAGGTCAAAATGAATAAACTCATGCTGGTGCATCCAAGTACGTTCAGGGTTGTCTGCAATGACTGGTTCCATCTGTCCAGGTAATGTTGCTATTGAAACATTAAGCAGGAGATTAAAAGAAAAAAAAAAGTGCAAGATTTTAGTGCTGTCGGTTATTATTCCGCCAGTATTTCAGGTATTAGGTTGCAGGAACTTGAGTTTAGTCCTAATCTGTATGATGAACAACACTTCTATCTTCTCTGTTATGCAATTTTTACGAAGTGTTGTATTGTGTGTGTTTTGTTGCTACAACTGCATGGATGCGAGACATTTGGAATTCATTCAAATAATAATAGTATTCCATAAGCCATTTATGACAAGATTGGTCTGCACAGAGGGATTTCTTACAGAAATAATTTTCTCCTCAGACTTTTGAAGATAACATAAGAAAAAACAGGACTGTTATCAGTAACTGGATAAAGTATGCACAATGGGAGGAAAGCCTGAAAGAAATACAGAGGTAATTATGATGCAGCTGCAGACATATCTTATAAACCTTTTAAGACACATGTTGACAAACCATCAAAGTCTTGGAGGCATGTTATATGCACAACTTACTTCTCTTTGCTTTCCAGAGCCCGTTCCATTTACGAGCGTGCTTTAGATGTAGACTACAGAAATGTCACACTCTGGCTGAAATATGCAG